GCTCTGGAAGAAGAAGAAACCGTAATCAGCCCAAAGTCTTTGAGGTTTATCGTCGGAATTCGCTTCGTGTTTCTTCGAATTTGTCTGCTCAAATATGTGGAAGTTGTTGGTTTCTTAAGAGCTCCAGTGGTGGGGGGAATTCTTAATTTCACCAAATCGGGTTTGATTCATGGCGAATCTGACTACATTCTGGTAGATTTCCAGTTTTGGGGAAAAATTTGAAAGAGGGTCGAATTTTTTCTAGGGTTACCTATTGAATTTTCGATTTCCAGATGTTCTCGAACCACTTTGTTGTCTCCTTCTTCCTTCTTCTATGTCTCCCGATTGTTTTCTTCTTCGTTGCTCCACATGTATTCCCTTCTCCTCCCGGCGAATCTCTCATCCCAATCTCCGATGAGATCGACGACCAGAGTCTATTCCTCGCCGCCGCTGGGTCAACCTCACAATCCCATCTCTCATCGGGAACCCCTAACCCTAAGCTCAAGATTGCCTTTTTGTTCCTCACCAACTCAGATCTCCATTTCGCGCCAATCTGGGATCGGTTCTTCTCTGGTCATCCACAATCGCTCTACAACGTCTACGTCCACGCAGATCCTTTCGCCAATGTCACAAGACCTGGGAATGGCTCTGTGTTCAAGAACGCCTTTATTGCGAACGCAAAGCGCACCGCACGGGCTTCACCGACTCTTATCTCCGCCACGCGACGGCTTCTAGCCACCGCATTCCTCGACGACCCTGCCAACACCTACTTCGCTGTGCTCTCTCAGTACTGCATTCCTCTCCACTCTTTCAATTATGTTTACAGCTCCCTCTTTGAATCCTCCACTTTCGATAAATCCGATCCGGATCCAACTCCGAATCCTAGAGGTATCAGGATTTGGTATCGGAGCTTTATCGAGCTTATATCCGATGAGCCGAGGCTTTGGAAACGGTACAATGCTCGGGGAAGGTATGCGATGATGCCGGAGGTACCGTTTGAGAAATTCCGGGTTGGTTCGCAGTTTTTTGTCATGACAAGAAGACATGCTTTGCTAACGATCAAAGATCGGATCTTGTGGCGGAAATTCAAGCTACCGTGTTATCGTTCCGATGAGTGTTACCCGGAAGAGCATTATTTCCCGACGCTGTTGAACATGAGAGATCCGGATGGGTGCACCGGGTATACATTGACCCGGGTTAACTGGACTGGCACTGTGAAAGGACATCCGTATACTTACAAACCGAAGGAAGTCTTGCCCGAGCTGATCAAGAAACTCCGGCAATCGAAACACTCAAGCTCCTACTTTTTTGCACGCAAGTTTACTCCTGATTGCTTGAAGCCATTGTTGGCAATTGCAGACTCGGTGATTTTCAGAGATTAAGTTTTGCAGGTAAGTGTTTATAAAGCATTTCCCTTGTTACCTTTCATCATTCTCTTGGTGAAGGAACTAAACTATAAGTTGATAGACTCTGGTTAATGCAAAAAAGCAGTTTTACTGTATATTTAGTTCTACTTTGTTTTCTGATCATGAATCAGTAAGAATCGATTTGGATTATACAATATTGCATGAAAAGGATACAGTGTTTTCATCATCTGCATTGATCTGTTATATTTTTCGGTCTTGAGAATCCATTTTAGTGGTTTAGATCAAACATATATATCTACGTCGATCTGTTACGAGCACATAGGTTGTTATCAATGACCACATATCTGATTTGTCATTGAAATGCTAAAGAAAAAGCATGTATTTTAGTTAAGGTATATAAATCTGCATTGATTATGAGTAATAAGAAACAATTTGGATTATCTCCAATCCTGCAATGAAATGTGTATCCTGGCTCCTATGTGATTCATTGCTCTGTTAGATATTTTGTTTGAAGAAGTCATGCATTCGAAATAGATTGTTAATTTTGGGTATTTGCATTTGGGTATGTATTTTTTCAGGGAAAAGTTTTGGTGATTTGTTATAGACTTGCAGTAATACCACTGGCCTTGTGAAGAGAATGCCACAATTACACTGGACTCGAGGAAAGGAGTTTCGAAAAGAAGATCACACCAAGTGCCTGAGAGTCTCACAAGGGTCTCAAAGACTCATGCTGAGAGGGTCTTACGTCCTGCGTATAGTTTAAAATAATGGTCAGCTATGTAATCGTATTGAGAGGAACAACAAGTTATGTATTTAAATCTGAGTTTCCTTTTAGGTCTACGTATCAAAGAAATTCTTCATTACAAGTTCCCTCTTTTATTGCGTCACTCCAATCTGAACCGTACGATCGTAATTAATGCTTTCTTTCCTTTTTGAGTGGAGAAGCCATACGACCTCTTTGTGAAATCACCGTAATGAGAATCGTTTTGAAACCTCGTTCTTGTACCACAAGTGTCGATGGGATTAGTATTGACCCTGAGCCTAACTGGAATTCCCATACTTTGGTCTCTAAGATCGAAAAGAATCTCACTGTCTTTTCAAGATTTCCCCATAAAACAAGAACATTTGTAAGAACGTTTTGAGCAGCTGTATGAGATGGTGATGATCGACGACCACGAAACCAAGTTATGGAGGATATTATAAGGAATCAAGTAGTCGTTGATAAGGAGATCTTGCATGAGATTGAAATGTTTCGCTTTGCAATAGCTCGGATTGAGAAGTACAGAGATTGAAATGTTTCGCTTTGCAATAGCTCGGATTGAGAAGTACAAGTGGAACGGAATCTTGATCTTCAATATCAGCAACAAGTAGCTCAAGCCCTCGGTACTTATCTCGCGAGATTGGAGAAGAATAGATTGAAGAAGTTCGAAGAGTTGAAAGCATTGAACCAATCGCATTCAAATCAGGACTTTAGCAGCTTCGAAAAGCGTATTGGAAGAGCGATTTAAGTAAATAACAAAGTATAATAATGTAGACGCAAAAGCCGATTAAATCATCAGTCTATTCAAGGATCCTCGTCGTCCCCTGTCCATCAGTATCGATCGTTTTCGCCGCTTGGCTAAACTCGTTCCCATTTGCCTGCAGCTACGTCATCGTCTGCGTCACCTCGCAGTTTCCACAAGCTATGGATACTCTTCTTGCTGAGTTCCACAAAGCTTGCATTTACACAGTCCCAAAACATAATGTAAACTCAGAGTCGGATCTGAGGGGTGAGGGGAGTGGGATGAAACATTTTAATGAGCTCCCACTTCAAAGGATCCCATTTATTTAAAAAATA